AAAACAAAAATTTTATGGGATTTAAAAAAATTTAAAACACATAAACACATGCCCGATAATTGAAAACAATAATTGCGTACCTTTGCGCTTCCAGCGAAATTAAAAACAACATACATGCTTAATTATTTAATCGAAATCAATTAGCATGCTCGCGTTTAAATCAAATAACACTCTCGCAGTAAATCATGAATTTCATGTAAACATACAAAACATACAAATTCACGAAACGTACTACGAAAACGAACATGCGTAATTTTAATCTAATTAAATCATAATCAAACGAATACGGGATTCGAGAATACCTCTTGAAGCGTGAGGTAGGCGCACGAAATGAAGCAAGATTGCCACGGAAACCAATCTGTGCAATCCGGGGCAGCAATGGCGAAACGGCAGCAGCGGCGAAGCGAGCTACGGCGGCGAGTGTGGCTCACGCGCGTTCTTCGGGCGGCGCGTGGGAGCGCGTGCGACGTCGGCTCATGGGGCCGCTCTTCGATTCTTCGATCTTCGATCTTCCTCCTCTCGGATTTCACCTCGTATACTTCGATCTACTAAAACGTGGCACTAGACACGAAGTAGTTAGAATAAAACGGAAGAAACGAAAAAGGAAAGAACAACCAATATGGATCGACCAAGGGATGGCCGATTCCGGCGAGATGGCGGCGACGTAGGGCGGTGTTGGCCGCGGGGGGAGAACGGCCGAGAGAGGGAGCGGCTAGGGTTAGGGTTTCGAGTTATGTGTTGTGCAAGACCTATAAATCAAGTATTTGTAGTGTCTTGCATAAAATCCTAACAGGCTTAAGTTGAACCGGGCCCAACAGCTTAAGTTCGTTAGTTCTTTTAGTCGCTCGTCTCTCTCAATTCGATGATCGGAAAATTGTTACAATTACATTTTCAGAATCATTATAATGTCCTCGTCAATACGAGTGCCAATTCTCAGTTTCCAACTTTCCAAAAGTGGAAACCCTAATTTAGTGCACTTTCTAAATTTGGAAACGTCCCGATTTAGAAAGTCCACTAAGATGTTCGCCTATTCTTTTCATTTTCTTATTCTCATTCATAATTCCAAATTACGAATGCTGGACCCAATTTTATTGACTTCCAATCATGCAAAGATAAACCATTTTTACCTTTGACCGTTCATTCAAAGATCTCATGTGCACGAGCAATGTGACCCTCGATGGTTCAGGTGTAAGCTAGCCGTGGGCCCACAACCCTTTGTGGTAAGAACTCGTCCCTTAGAGTTACGATTAAGATGAAGCTCGTTTCACCTTAATCACCCAACGAATCAAGATTGGCGTCTAGCAACTACGCGTCATGATTCCCTAGATACAAATGAAGTGCGTGCAAGAACCTTTTGATATAGTTAGCGTACAGTACGATCCCTTCGATTCATATGTCCCAATTGAACTAGAGGCATTGGTTCATCGAGACCTCCTTAGTAGTTCAATGACTGTGCGATCGTTCTAAGTGTTGTAATCGTTACGTGCATGACTTAGAGAATCGAATTCTCTAATCATCACTTGGCCAGAGACTTAGAGAGATTACAAACTATAAGAACACACAGGACATCCAAGACTATTCTAGCGATCGAATCCCCGACTACAATGCACAGACCTCCCACTAGATTTCGGACTGCACGAACACTGGCCCTTGGGATGGTCCTCGGTGGAACTCAAGGACAGGTCACGATACTGCTGGTCCTCTAGTGAAGTCACGTTGATGTCTAGGTCATAAGGACTACTGGTGTACAACTATACCATATATATCTCTACTCGATTATTGAGAACCACTTAGAGATTTCTAGGGTGAGGGAGTTCAGTGAACTTGTCAACTTACGAGCACCCACTTATGCATGCCAATATCACAATATCGTTTACTGATGAGATGCACTACACATACACTAAGTGCTAGTCTCTTAATGGGAAAGGCCGATATCCTCATTGGTGGCGTAACCCTTCGACTAGGAACACGTTTAACAGTTATAATACTAAAGTAAATATCTCACGATCCAAACGATCAATTACTCGTACTTGTAATGACTATATCTATGCTTGTGACAAAGGGACAAAGATACAGAATGCCAAGGTGTTTTATCATTAATACGAAAAGGGTTTGTTTATTACGATAATAAATGGAAAGACCACAGCCACAAGTTGGCTTGTTGGTCACCTACTCTAACAATGGGAACCGATATGCACTATATTTATGTTTCGCAGGGCAGTTAATGCTAACATAGATGGAAATTTATAAATCTTATGTTAAATAATAAGGATTTAAGAAATGTTGGGAGAGCCATGTCATCCTATAACTCTACATTTTCTCAACCACTGTCTGAAACTAATAGTCCGGTAAAACCCTAAATATAGACATGACCACGGTTCGGTTCGGTTCGGTTCCGATTTTGGAGGAACCGAAACCGAACCGAATATTTCTGGTTCTTTATGGTTCGGTTCTAACCGTAAAACCGGCCGGTTCTAAATAATATTTTTTTTTTGTAATTTTTTTCTTAATTTTGTATTTTTTTGTTATTATATTTAACTTAAAACAATATGTAAAAAATACTTTAAAAATAGTTAATGTTTTTTGAAAAAAACATTGGAAAGAATACTTCAAAAAATATATTTTGTTTAAAAAAACTTAATTTAAAAAAAATACTTAAAGAAAATATTTTTGTACTTTTAAAAAAATTGAATAAATTACTTTTAAAAGAATACTTGAAGGAATTGCTTTTAAAAATATTTTTTATACTTCTTAAAAAAAATTGTATTTTAGTATTAAAAATTAAAAAAAGGAAAAGGAAAGAAATTGAAAGGGCTTAAATAAAGGAAAAGGAAAGAATTAGTTGTAGTAATAATATTTTTTTTTTCTAAAAACAGGTTAGACCGGTTTTAACCGCGGTTCTAACCGGCGGTTAGCGGTTACAAAAATGGGGAACCAGAACCGAACCGATTTTTCCGGTTCTGGTTTTGGTCAAACCAGTTTCGGTTCGTGTTCTGGTCAAACCGGTTCCGGTTTGCTTAAAAAATCGTTGACCCCGGTTCGGCTCCAGTTTCGGTTCCGTTTCTAACCAAACCGGTGGTCATGTCTACACTAAAGGAATAACACATCCAATGCATTATTCATTTTGAGTTTCTAACAATGTTTCAAGGGTGATTGTAATTACCGATACCGCATGGACTTTAAGGTTATTTTAGCATACCTCAAGGGGTGTAGGATTAATTTACCCAAAAAATAATTATGATTAGTGTATTTTTTATTTTTTATTAAGAGTATTATAAAGGAGTATATATATATATATATGGATTAGTTTGTAGACCTCCCTAATTTCCAAATTATATAGAACTAACTACTAAGTGGATTACACTCTAGGGGAAACCCCCCTCATTTCGAAAATATTTTGACATACCCCCCTGGGCCACCCTGAAGTCCCTATAATACCCTTTTAAAATCAGTTTTAAACCCTAGCCCAACACATTTCAGTCTCTCTCTTCCTCTCTCAGATTCAAAATTTCGCCTCCACAAACCTCCCACCGGCGAAATTGCTTCACGGAGTCATAACTCTCTCTTCGGTGATCGGAATTCGACGGTTTAACTACCGTTGGATTCCCCTCGTCGAGATCTTTCTTTTGGTGGTGATTTTATTCAGTTTGGAGTGCTGAATCTATTTCTGCAATTTTTTTTTCATTCGACGACGGTGGTCTTGCTGGAGGTGTATTTTGTGTTCCACCAGTCGAAATTTGACGGCCTACCAACCGTTGGATTCCTCTCGTCGAGATCTATATTTTGATGGTAATTTCGTTATTTTTATGATTTCAGATTTATTTCTATAATTTTTTGCATTTGTCGGCGGCTAGGGTTTTGGTAGGAGGCGAGGGGGGTGAAGAGTCACTGTCTGTTTGATTTTAAATCTGTAGCATTTCCCAGCTATAACCTTTCTCTCTATCTCTCGATCTCTTAGTGTTTGTTGATTTTTAAGTATTTTGATATTTCTTCAATTTTGTTGATTTGCCTTAAAGTAATATTTGTTTTTAGATTTTACAATTGCAGCTTAATGAAAGTCATTGATCCTCTCCTTTATGGTGTCAAAAATTTGGTTGAAGTTACATCTGCTTCAAGTTGCAGTGTTCAACAGACTGTATACATTACTATACATTACTATATATATAGTAACATGTAGTTACATAAGCATATATTTGTGTATTTGCGATTTGTATTTTATTGGTTCTCAAGTGATTTATAATATAAATATTGAAATTTGTAAATTTTTGTTGGGGTTTATGAATTTCTTTTGTATAAGCCACTATTCATGTGTGTATACAATTGATCGACTAAAAATATGGGGTAAAAAAACGAACATAACTACGAATTATTATAGGCACTGCAGTTACATGTAGTTATTTTCAGTATACTAAACATATTGTTTTGGGCCCGTCAAAATACGGAAAAATGGGCTAAAGGGCCGGGCTGAGCTCATGGTTTCCCTCCATGGCCGGGCGGCCCGGCCCGTGAAAATAGTAGGCTGGGTGGGCTGAGCCCGTGGGCCAGACGGGCCGGTGTTCATGGGCCGCGGGCGGGCCGGGCGGGCCATTTGTTCACCACTAGGTTTAACCCTAATTTATTTGGTAGGTGGGCATTGTATTCTATTTTCCCATTTCCACACGCGGCGACAGTAGTAGGACCGGTGAACGGCGGCGGAGAGGTGAATGGATGCCGGAGAGGTGAACGGCGGCGGAGAGGTGAACGGATGCCGGAGAGGTGAACGGCGGCCGGAGAGGTGAACGGCGGTTACAAGATGAAGGCACCACTTCTTATGAATTCAATTGGAAGTGTTTCTCGAAGTATTTCTGGTTAGTTTCTTTTGTTTTTTTTGCTGATGCATAAGCGTTAGTTAGTGAATTCGTATTAAATTTTTTCATTTGTTATTTGGATGTTGCAATTCATGAAATCTGTAAATTATCTTCCCTAATTAGTAATTAGTATTGAGTGCCAGGTGTTTGATAAAATGTCCAAGCCTAATTTTCTGCTTGATTTTTTGTCCCCTTATATATAGTGCAGTGTACATAAACCTTCAAAGGTAATAAGAAATGCTTAAGTTTTCCTGTTTACTGTTTACTGCTTTGAGAAATGCTTAAGTTTTTTTCTAATAGTAACTTTCTAGATTATGTTTGGATTTTAACTTTTTAATTTGCTTTTATATAAGATGATGCGAATTCGCCGCATGATGTGTCTAGCAGTGAAAATGGCAACGATCGCTAGGATTAGTATGTTTGTGTATTTATTCGTCTTTCCATTTTCACTTTTTCTTCCTTAAGATTTATCTATGTAGATTATGTTTACATGAATGTAATTTATTGTCATTTTATCCAGGGATATGATTGACTTTCAAAATGGAAATAGTGGACTACACGGATCTATGATTAAATGCCTGGGATGTTGTTGTTGCTGTTGTCAAGGAAGGGGTATACACTTCTCTATAACTTTTTTTTTCTTAAATATCCTTAAGATTATACCCGTGTATATGTGTATGTATATGAATTTTAGTCTATGTTGTGTGTGTATTTTTCAGCGAGCCCAAAAGCCGATGCTGGTTCCGTTCTAGGGGATGATGATCGTCAAGAATGTAAGTTTTACATTTAGTATGTATGTTTGAAAGGTCCTTTGTTTAAGCCCTAAAATCATTAGATATATTGAACTTAGATTACTGGATAAGCACAAGACTCACCACATCATATAGTTTTGCCCGAACAACCACAACTTTAACAACAAATATGATCTACTGCAGTTCATGCCCATAGCTTCTCTTTACGTTTATTGTACAACCCGTGAGCTGGAAGAGCCTTCTTTTCACCACTTAACAAGATTAAACTTAGCCGTTAGGAGCTACTAATCTCAACGCCATGTCACTATTATACTTTTTCCTCTGCATGAGAAAACTAGAAAACTCTACTGTGTCTATAAATATTAGAAATAGACAGATTCGTCGATTAAGAAGCCAAACACAAATGTCGCCCCTACTTCAATAACAAATACAAATAGCAGCAGCCCAAGTAGCAAGTATAGATACTTCCGTGATGATAGTACAACACCACATGCGGTCTCCGCCCCCAGCATGACGACAAATAGAGCAATGCACTGAATGACAAACAAATCAATACCATCGCATCGCTTATCCAACTCTATTTCTTCCTTCATAATATTCGTTCTCCTCCTCTCAAATGCCTCGATTTTCAACTGATTATCAGTAGTAACGCACCCAGTAACTGATGTTTGCACATGGATGCCTTACCACAAATAATCAGTTGAAAGTCGAGGCATTTGAGAGAAGGAAGACGAATATTATGAAAGAAGAAATAGAGTTGGATAAGCGATGCGATGGTATTGATTTGTTTATCATTCAGTGCATTGCTCTATTTGTTGTCATGCTGGGGGCGGGGACCGCATGTGGTGTTGTACTATCGTCACGGTACTATCTATACTTGCTACTTGGGTTGCTGCTATTTGCATTTGTTATCGAAGTAGGGGCAACATCTGTGTTTGCCTTCTTAATCGACGAATCTGTCTATTTCTAATATTTATAGGCACAGTAGAGTTTCTCATGCACAGGAAAAAAATACAATAGTGACATGTCGTTGAGATTAGTAGCTTATAACGGCTAAGTTTAATCCTTGTTAAGTGGTGAAAAGAAGGCTCTCCCAGCTACAAGGTTGTACAATAAACGTAAAGAGAAGTTATGGGCACGACTGCAGTAGATCATCTTTGTTGCTAAACTTGTGGTTGTCGCCGATTGGATTGCATTCTTGGCGGTCTGCGGTTGAGCTGTGGATCATACGAGAGATACCACTTTGGAATTCTGGTCATGTGTGCAGTTGCGAGTGTGGCCTATATGCTAGCTATTGGTCTATTTTATGCACACAGGTAAAATTTCTCTTATCTTACTCCGATTAATATTTTCTTTTATAGTTTTTGATTGTATAATTATTCTTATTTAATGCTTTGCAGATGATAAAAGGCCTATGAGAGCTACATAGTCGCATTGTATGTTTGCAGACAGGTGCTGCTTCTGACTTGATCTAGGTGTTACTGTGTTTACGACTTATATGTTTGCTATTTGATATGGGTGCAAAATGCTTTTTCAATTTTTGAGGGTGAGATATTCCAAAATGATCGTATGTTACGGTGCAAACGCAATTTAGTCCTTTTGTAAAATACCATATACTCTTTGTTTTATGCTTGTACGAGTTTGTGATTGTTAGTTTTTTTTGAGTGCTTGGGCGAATTGGTTGATATGTGGTTTTGTATGTGCTAGTACTGGATTGTCGTGTTTTTTCCAATAATACATCCTAATCATATGTTTTTTTTAATTATTGGATATGATTTTCTGCTTTTAGTTGAACAATTACATTGTTGAGTTTTTTCTGGTCAAGATTCTTGTGTATCACATCAATTTTAGACGTGATTCCGTTTGATATTGAAGTTGAATATGATTCTCAAAAAGAGGATTCATAAGTAAGATTTAGTTACCTAATCAATGTCATGTTAACTGAATTCTTTGGATTCAGTAAATAATTGGAATGAAATGTAGAAAAAATATTTGTATTTCAAAATAAGTATAAATATTTGCAAAATGTTTCCCGTCTTAATAACTCAATATCCACTGCCCAGACGTAAATGATACCCGTTGCACGTCATGTTCTTGGATTTGGTATTTTTGTAATTCTGAAGTAATATGGAAATTATTCTTGCACAAATGTTGTGAAGTTTAGGCTTTAAAGACCCTACAAGTTTATGGTTAATCACGGGTGAATCAGCCTGCAACTCTTACTGTTACTTATGGGTGAATTGACCCGCAGATTCAATAAGACTTGCATGATCAAAAGGCACTGTGCATTCATTACGACTTTGCGAAGTATTATTTTCTATCTGTCTGGATTTCACTAGTTGATTGAATAGAAAGTTTGTGTTCCATGTAGGTTAAAGTATGCTTAGTACTTGTTTCAGTAACGACGTAAACTTTCATTACCTTGCAGAGAAAATGGGTCTTTCTTTCACCGATCTTTTCAGTTACTGTTTGACGAGGATATGCGAATGAATTCTTATGGGAGAGGTCTTGTATAAACTCAAATTGGGAGAAATAGTGACAATCATTCCTATAATCGGTACGCCTTTTTTCTATATCATGTTTTCTCTGTATTGTTATGCAATATTATGAAGATAAGTGTTTGTGTGAGTGTTTGTGGTAGAGAAAGTTGACGGAAATTATATCTTTTTTGCTCGCCGCTAGAGTCCGAGAAATTTGAACAATTGCTTTGTTGTTAATTTTAAATTTTTTTCTGTTTTGAAATCAGATTCAAAAAGCATTTTTGTCTTGCCTATGTGTATAAGTCCTTTTGCGTTTGTATTTTCAGTTTGGTTGTATCCTGACTAAATTCTCACAATTATCTGTGGCTGGTTGAAAAATTCATTCATATAAATAATGGCTAACTTGATCTTTTGAGAACACACATATTGGGAGTGTAAATAAGGGCCAACTTGATCTTTGGATAGCTGCTCTTGTCCGCATTATGGGATCTTGATTCTTTTTTTCGTTTCTTTTTTCTTGGAAAGTTGACTTTTGTCTCGTTGATTCTGTAATAGTTTAGGCAAATTCTGTTGTTGCTTCAAACTTTTTTTCATTATTTATTAATTATACTTTACACTACTATGTTGATAGGACTAGACCATCATCTAGATAAAACCGGTCCTCAGATTTCGAGGACCATAAGCATTGAATGTGTGAACTTTATTATCACTCTAAGAGCTAACAAGTTTGTTTGATAGGTTTAAAAATCAAATGTTGCTCATATTTAAATACTACTCATCTTCCTAATGCATAGCGAAAATGATTTAATCATATGGTAGAGAGTGACTCAGTGAATGTTCTAGATACGTTTTCCAATGTAAGTACAATAAATATATTTGTAGAACATTTTTATCTACGAAAGTTGTTTACAAAATAGACAGATCGTGACACTCAATCTCCTTTCATAATATTTACAGTAATAAATTATTATAATTTTTTTTTGGCGAACACCTTATATATATTCAATAATATTCAGATAAGTGTATTTTAAAACCAAGTCAAACATTAAAACCAAGTCGATATTTTGATGAATTTTGCGGATATATAAATGATTATAGGAGTATTGCTCTTTTAGCATTTTGTAAACCCCCTAAACCATGATGAAAGATAGACATTTCTACAAATAAATTTCGGAATTTAACTTCTCTTATTTTAAACTCTATATAGATATGATTACATTGCCAAAAAAAAAAAATTGCGGCCCTTTGATGTTAGGATCGCTAAGAGCATCTCTAGTCACACCCCCTAAACCCACTTTCCCAATTAATCTCTAAAATTTTGGGAAAAATAATGCTCTAGTGGGTTATTATAAAGGGATTATTTGTCAAAAGCCCTCCATTACACAAGTCTAATTACAGTAGATCCAATTTTTTTAGAACTTTTTGAGATAAATCCATTTTTGTATTAAATAATAAAAAATAATAAATTATCACTATTATACCCCTAACTTAAAAGTAACGTATGTTTTATGATTGGAAATAAAAAAAATTAAAAAAAAATTGTAATATCTTTTCCTATTTTATCGTAACAACACATCCTCATATAATTCCACGATTGCGCCCCCTAATTACAGAGAAACCGTTTCAAAGCAATCTGTATTATTTCCACACATCCTCTACCGATCCGATTTCTTAGGGTTGAAAATAAATATACGTATTCTTCTTTTTTTCCTCCTCCGTCGTCATCGCGTCACTCATACCCACCAATATCAGTGTAGCTCCAACAACCACCTCTGCTTCCGCCTCCCGCCGCACCCCGCCGCAGCGCCGCCGCACGAGGCCTCACCGCAAAAGCCAACAGTCCTCCAAAAAAATCATCAAAATCTCCCACGAAGGCATTCGTTCGGCACATCAAATATAGAAACTTTGTGAAACATAGGAAACCAAATTAATTGGCGAGCAACAAGAAAATTGCCATGGACTCACAATTTTTTTCGAATTTAGGGTTTCTTTTTTTTATTATCTGAGAGGGCACTTTAATCAAAGTATCAGCCCTCTTTTTGTGTTGGTGAAACTATGTGTTTCTTTCTGTTCTTTTAAATGATTTGGGGAAAACGATCATCGAATTATTGGTTTTGCTATTTTTAGTGTGTTTCTTGGTAATTATTTTCAGGTGAAGGATAAATCGATAAAGCGATGGTCTGATCGAATGAATTTTGATTCGCTCATAAAGTACGTTTGGTTGAAGTGGCACGCGATCAATGGACGTAATTTCTCGTTAACATATAAGTCCGACGTTTATGATGGATGCATCACGATAATTTGACATCAATGTTGTTCATTATGCGTGAGAGTGGTGTTGGGCGTGTCGAAGTAACCGTAAAGGAGCAGGAAGATGGGGATGCCCGTTCAGGTGATCGTATCCAAACGCAAGTTGTGTAGCCGATAGTAACATTGGTCGAATACGGCAAGACATTGTTGAGCGCATAATGGGCTAACTTAATTAAACATGAAGGCGAAGAATTTGCTGGTGGCGCCAATGAGTTTAGGAAGTCGTTTATCAAGTTTTCGGTGGAGATTGAGTTTGAATACGTGTATTTGAAGAACGAGACATGCAGGGTTATGGTTGATTGTCGATTTAAGGATGAAAACCAATGCTTGTGGAGGATACATGCGTCTGTATTAACAAGTATGTTGTCGTAGTAGACCCGTTTTGGGAGTAATAATGCAATTTTCGAATTTGATTTCATTCGCAACAATATCCTTATTTTTTCAAGAAAAATAAATTGAATACGATCTTACGCTGCATTTATTATGTGTCCCTACACACGTCATTCCATATGTAAGCACGCAATTTCGTTGTAATTTGAATTTCTAGTGTAAACCAGTTCATGTATTTCGGAACAGAATGCAAAACACAATAACGCAAATAGTGGTTTTTACTCTTTTGACTCTTATTTTTTTTTTTTTTGCATTAGTCACACAAAACAAGAAAAATATTGTTTGTTAGCAGACATGTTCTACACTAAATATTGTTTGTCAGTCATCTCATAATACACAACAATTCTTTGTTCGATTAGTGTGCAGTTTACATTCCAACTACTTACTACACATATAGCCATATGTGCAGTAACAACCACATATAGCCATTATCAACTACTTACTGCACAAATATCCACCACAAACAACCACATAGAGCCATTACCAAAAACCACATACAATAGTTACCAAAAATCACTGTACTAACACCAAACATATATCCACTACCGAAAATCACAACACTATTTTTCATAATCCCCAAGAATAGACAATGATATAAATAACAAAACCACTACACAGGTTGGAAACCACATAACATTATTACTATCTATTTTACATAAACAAACAGTATATAATAATTTAGAATGCAAATTTATTGAAAAAACTCCAATGCAAACTAAATGTACTGCATTCCATACAATCTGCTTACACAATGACCAAAAAGTTGCAAAATAAAGAAATACGGTAAATAAACTGCACGTCCATATGTCATAATGTTTAACGATAAATAAAGTGTATCTAAAAAAATTCATAACAAAAAATCTAAAAAAAAAAAACAACCACAAAATCCATTCCAATATATTACGCATTTTCATCTATTACGTCGAATATATACTTTATTTTTGCGCCATTCAAGTAAAGTCTCGAAGATCTCTATTCTCATGCTGGGAATGTCCTTCACACCTTGTGCTTTTGTAATAATTTTATTTTGGAAGTACTGCTTCACGATGTAGCACACAACTACCCCACAGTTGACACTATCACTCTTTTGTTGGGGAGCATCGGTCATTAAAACCACTTCTTCGTCGTACGGGAGATCTAGATTGTGATATCTCCCCGTCTTATCTACGACAACTTTCTGTTTAAAGATTACAAATTTCAGGTCAAACCACATAACTATCCCAAAACCATATAAATATACCAAAACCATAAAACCATATACACTGCTTATAACTCCCCAAACAACAAAACATTTACTTCATAGATAAAAACCATATAAACTATTTATGGCTCCCTAAACCACAAAACACTCATTGCCTAAGGATCAACCACATAACTTATACTACTTATGATTTTCATCTATTAAAAGGATAAAAACCACATTACATAATTTGTCAAAACCACATAATATGTGTTGCCAATATCATATAACATATATTGTAGAATTCAAACTCACAAGAACAATTGCACATATTAATTACTGCATGTACCCCCCAAAAACCACTAACATGTACTGTGTATGGCTAAAACCCACATATACTGTGTATGGCTCCCAAAACCACATAACATTTATTGCATAATGATAAAAACCACTTAAGAAATTATGCATAAGATTTTTATCTATTAAAAGGATAAAAACCACATAACATTCAGACTACATAACCGCATATGATTATATTATACCACATATTCTTACAAACCTCGCCAAACCACATAACTTAGATTATAAATTCAAACAATATAAAACTGATAACCACACTGCACTTCACAATCTGAACACCACACATATTTTTAATCCACCGTTTAATTTTCATGTATAAATACAACTCCAATAACCAAGTAGTAGTTTCTTTATACGACATAGTTCAAAACTTAGCATAAAGGGTTCAAACATTGCATATCCTCAAACAGAAAAAAAACAAGAAACTATAAAACCACGCATATCCATTAAAAACCACATTCTCCAACATATTAATATTCGTAGTAAAAAATTGATACACAAAACCTACACATTGGTTTGTGCTTAAACATGCATATCACAAAACGAGTAATAATGAGTATTTTTACAACAACCAAGCATAAGTTAACGACATATATATATCGATTACTGAATTCATAACTCACCGGGTTCTAATTCCATAATGTTATGCCCTGATTTTCGATATTCTTCTTCCTGTAATTGTTTGCCCATTTAGAGAAACACATGCAGAATAAAATTAAGAACATTCTTGTAAATTACTTACAATATTCAAAAAATTGATTTAACACAAAAAAACAAAATACCGTAATCACTTACTCTTCGCTGTTGATTTTTGAACCGTCTTGCAGAGACACAAATCAAGAATAATTGGGTTTTCGTAAATGAAAAAAATATGGTTTTAACCTCTAATTACTGTCTTCCCCAAGAACGGTATCCATTGTTGGATGGGCTTTGTGAAAGCGGGACGAAGAAGACGACGATGTTGGAGTGGATTACGGGCGTGATTTGGGGCAGAATAATAAGGAGGATTTTTCGCTTTTGTAATCTGGGTGGGTTTGCATATATCGACCGATTTTTTATTTTAAATTAATATACTAATTAGTTGGGGTATATAGGGTAATTTGGTTTGGTTGGATTTATGTCAAATATCAATTCCTAAAATTGGATATCAATAAGTCAAATCGCAATGGAGGGTGTTTATCAAATAACCCTTATTATAAAACCCCTATAATTTTCCTTAACCATTGGGATACCCTATCACACACCCCACAATTGGGGAGTTCTTTAGGAGAGAGAAAATGGTGACTAGGAGTGAGAAAAAATGGTGGAGTTTTATAAAAGGTAATTAATTGACAATATTAATTATTTATTGTTTTATAAATTGTAATTAAATAG